CGATTATGTATACTCAGAAAATGGCGAAAATACAAATTAATTTATTCTATATAAAGTTGTGATGCCCGCCTTACGTGGGACACGGTGTATATGAGATGAATCAATAATAAATTAATGTGAATAACATACATAAATATATATTACCAAAACAAAGTACCTACTTAGTATTACCATTGGACATAGGAGTAACAAAATATATTTAATGTATTTGACTAAACAAAACAGAAAATTTCAAAACTTTAAAGTACCCGTCATCATCTACATGTGTGGTCATTTTTTCTTCTACTTTCCGTTGGTCTTTAAGCAACTTTTCTTTCTTCAATCTCAGTACCTGAAACTGCTCTAACAAAACAAGACGTTGTAGTTGTGGAGTGGTTAGTTTTCTTGTCTCGGTTGTTTCCAGTTCTCCGAGACTGTCAGTACTAGATTTAACTAGGAATTTTGGACGTTTAGGTGGCGGATTTTGGCTGGAACTAGTACCAGGTTTATCGAAGGCTAGCTCAAGTCCTGACTGTAGTGATTAATCTATCTGTATTAAAGAGGCGACTCCAAGTGAAACAGCTCCTACAATAAAAATATACATTAAGCTTAATTATATTACTGTTTTTTATTTTATTGCATTGTTGATTTCGTATTAAATTAAAATAATTAATACTTGTTGGTACGTAACTCAACTTACCGTCTAATCGTTTGATGCTTGGATTAGAATCTCCTTCAAGTATTTCATTGAGAAGCTTCTGCCATTAGCTTAGTATGATGGGTACGTTTCCAGTCTGCTTCAAATCAATCTTTTTCTTTAAACGGGTTTTCATCTTATTCACTTTTTTCATTATTTGGCCCTCTATCATAGCTTTGCTGCAATTCATTTTTCAGTTGACTTAAGGAACTTTCCTTTTTTTGCTTCACAGCTGGCACTTGAGATTTATTTAATATATGTTTATGTTTCTTCAGTAACTGAACAAATGCCACATCAGATATATCGTCGTTGTTAGTTTTCATTTTAAAATCACAGAATCACACAAGTCAAAGACCGCTAAGAAACCACTGACCTGTAATATTCCTAATTCATAATTTGTTGTGGTTACATCTTGCAGGTTAAGACATGTTTTTTAGCTGTAGCCAAAACACACCGGCGCCACGCCGCGCTGTACGATGCATATGCTTGAGCATATGCTCACGATAATTGAGTTTAAGCTCGAAAGTATAGCAAATGCTCAGCTTGTGTTTATTTATACCAACACGAGTAAAAGCTCAGACTCTGCCCTCATACTCCGAATGGGTGTTTATTTGGAGGTTTATTTGGTACTGAAACTACATCAGTTTTTTTCCAAAGTGCATTAGACTTAATTTTTTTTATGGATTTTCCTGAAAATTAAAATATGTCAACTCATTTATGACAACAAAATTTATAAAAAAATATTTGTACGCTTTTTTATAAATTTATAATATTACCTTTTCGACTGGCATCTTTAGATCCACAAGCAACAGCTAATTTTTTATTTGGAATATTTTCCTTATCAATCTCATCATCACTCGATTCTTCTTCAGAGAAATCGGTTTCCATATTATCGCTGTGAATATTTTGTAAATAGTCACTACCATCTGAGTCACTTTCTGGATCAAAATCATATTTTTCATGCTCATCGTCATCAGATTCTAATCAAAGCCTATCAATTTCTGCTTCAGTCAACGGTCTTTTATGTTTACTACTAATTTTATTTTAATTTACTTATTTTTCTTTTAGAAAACTTAATAGAAATGTATTCCCTCACACGTTCGCGAAACAACTGCCAATACAACACTATTTAGCGTACCGCAGCTTTCTACTACAGACAAGTTATAACTTGATTACCTCATAAGAATATTATGTCGGATTCGTGCGCTTCCCGTGTTTAAGTGGTCCTCACAGCCATCGAAAAAATGCGTCTCCCATATATATAGCGGTCGAGTATTTGCGCATTTTTGCGGCTGCCGACGCGAAAGGGTTAATAGTAATCAAGACTCCGCCGCCCCTCACTTTATTGCTAGTTTTAGTATTACGATCACATCTATAAACATGATACTCTACAAAATCTGCTTCAGCAGATGAAATTTCATCAGAAAGCCAGGTTTCAGTAATAATAATATCATAATTAGTACACAAAATTTGTTGCTTTCATTCCTCTAATTTAGTTTTTGATCCACCGACGTTTTGGTAATAAACATGTAATGAAGATAAAGTTAGTTTTTTTGAAGATTAACAGACTTCTTCATAATTTTAGGGGAACCATTAATAAATCTTATGACTAAATCATTCTTACCATTTTGTATCCTTATTACATTGAGTTGATCTTGTATTATTCTGAGTTGATTTCTCTGCATGGCAGTAAGATCTGCACTTATATTAAACACTGTTCCAGATAGCTTCTTTCTATTTCTTAAACATTAAGAGACAACTTCTGGATGATTGACAAACACCTTTAGTGTACGAAGTTTTCCTTTAGATTTGCCTAAACGTATGGCTTTAAAGTTGTTTGCATCGATATCAAATTTAGAAAATACATCGGCTAATTAGATCTTATCATTAGAGATTCTTACTGTAACATCTGTAGATTCGTTTTCCGGTACATTATTTACCATCAGATTATTTGCTCGAGTTTGTCTCTCTTGCAATTCATCAATAAGTTTTGTTTTATTACCTATTAAATCACTATTGTTCACAGAAATTGCATTATTTAGTTTTTTCTTTATGAGCCACCTTGTTCTCTAAGACAATAATTCGGTCGTTTAATTCTTCTATACTGGAATTTAATTCGTTGATAAACACACTGATATCGTTTTTCTGCTCCATCATGGCTGTATACATCATTTTCATAACAGAGAGAATATCTTTTAAATCTGTACTTTTTTAAGATAAAATATCTTCAATAGAAACTTGAGTAGTTTTGTTAGAAGACTGCAGAATTATTCCTGATTTTGGAAATATCAGATGAACTCAGACTTTGTCTACCAATTTTTTTGGCATTTGTACTTCCATGACATAACCATAAATGTGTTTTATTTTTTTTAACTTTAGAACAAATATCATTGAATTCAGCATTAGTAAGTGACGAGCAACCCTTGTGGTACAATGTAAGGCAACCACTTCATTCTATAGATCTTGTTGATTCTTTGATTATATTATCACATTCACCACAATTTTTTTCCAAAAACCATAAACAGAATTCTAACCTGCGTTCAAAATCTGTTTCATACAAATTTTGGTGCATCTGAATTTTAAATGGACGATAAAAATTATTTTTAAGAATTTTCTTACACTTGTTTGACTTAAATCTAACTGTTTTGCCACAATTATTGTGCTTGCGTTAGGATTTTCGATGACAGATAGAACATTTTGTTGATTAGTATCGTCATCTGTTGTGTGCTTATTTATGGTACGCTTTTCATAAGCAACGGTACCAGTTTAATTAGTGAGACCTTTAGGCAATTTGAAAAAAAAAATAAACTTACTCTTGATCATAATACATTTTTCAATTTCCACCGAAAACCGCTGAGATTATGAAAATGAGTATTCGTAATACCCTTGAGGACTGTTAGTTTGAAGATTAATTTACACAATGTAAATAAACATTTAAATTATATTTTTTAATTTAGGTATTAATTAGAACAATTATTACAAATTTTTAATTAGAAAATGTCGGTATAAATTATGTTTTAAATTTTAATATGAAAATATTAGTAAACGATTGAAATTTATTGATACATAGAAACTATTGATAATAGGTCTAAAAATAGTAGGACCCTTATAGAACTAATAAAGTAAATACAATTTCCTTCATATTGGTACCACAAAATTCAGGGTGTGCCATTTAAATTAGCCCAGTAATTAATGAAACATTTTAGTGTAATAAAACTTCAAATTGCAAACACCCCGTACATTTTTTGAATATTTTAATGATTTTGATAAAAAGTTACATTTTGTAAGGAACTCCCAAAAATCCGTTAATTAATTATTATTTTGTAATCAAGAGTAAATTAATTTCAACACTACATTTTTAAAAAATGTCAAATAAACCGGCAATTATCAAAGAATCTTTAATAAAATAAGATCATTTTTAAGAGTTGAACTTAAAAATTGAAAGAAAATACAGGGTGGCCCATTAAAAAAATATAACTTTATATTGGTATTCTGGTTTGGGCCACCCTGCATATATGAAACTAATTTTAATTTGTAGCCACCGTTGAGTTGAATATTTGTGCCAAATGATTTTTTAACCAGGCTCCGTCCCGTTGAGAGTAGTGGTACATATGTAATTTAATTTGACTTAGGTCTGCAATCCTGCGAGATATAAAATATTTAGAGTAGTAACAAATAAAAATGTGCATTTAAATAAATGAATATAATATTTAATATGTTGAATATGATAGTTGTTTATTAAATTTTATAAAAACGATTAATTGTTTGACATATTTTATAGACACAAATGTTAAGGATTTTTGTTAATGTAAGTACTTTTTTTTTTTTTTTTTTTTTTTTTGTTAACAATTTCATAAAGCTGAATATTATTAATCCAAAATTTTAAGTCTGGTTGCAATTGTTAAAACAAGATTTTCTTGAAAGATATGAACGCTTTATACTTTAATTTTACATTTAAGATATATCTAGATATTTTTTATTTTTTTTTTATTCATTTATTTATTTTTTGTCCAAACAGCCTTACTAGCCTAGTTACTTAGTGAAAATAATAAATATACAATAAAATAACTAAATAGACAAATTAATGAATGAAATAAAAAAAAACATCTATTGTGATAAGGTATATAAAGTAATCAATGTCTGACAAAGACTGAGATGTAATACATGTCATAATTACATAAAATTGTAATTTAAAAAGAAGAAACTTACCCTTTTTTTTTTTTCATGGCTCACTTCATTGACATATTTTGTGGATCACTCTTTATTTAGTTAAACAAGCCTATCGTATTCAAAAATCACTAACTATGATGTTGTTTTGTTTCAGGTTTGCTGTAGGCTTTGATCAAATGGACAGAAGGCATCCTGCCATCTCAAGAATGAAACAAATGGTAAACAACAATACAGCACATGTCCCTGAACCTACCATAAAAGTGCCCACCTCCACCACAGTCGTTGTGCAACGTGGAAAAAAAGTTCGCACATCATTAAGGCAGCATGAAAGACAACAAGACGAACTCTTCGAATTGTAGCACCGTTTTTGTATACAGAGTGGTTAAAAATAGGGACTGCGTTATATACAACAATTTGCAATAAATCAGTAAGTTTCTATTAAAATAGTAAACCAAAAGTATTACTGGGAATGCAGAATTTAACGTTTCTGAGACTTACTGAAGTTGTCCTAAATATACAATAATATACATTGCTTCCTACTTAAATACAAGGAAAACTAATCATACTCTTGAATCATCATGTGTATCAAGAAAAGTATTTAACACAAAGAATACCATTCATCTTAATAGGAAATCTTTGACACTGGCATTTGCACAACCAATTACACCAGCATTTTTCTTCTAATAAGATTTAATGACTGCACGATATAAATAACTCGTAACTAAAAAATTCGTTTGGTTCCTAGAACTCCGTGTTTATATTCCATTATTGATGAATGGTACACGCATTTTTTAAAAACTATTTTGGATTTAGATGTTACTTTATTTGGTATAATTTTTTTTATTGCCTGAGATTTTCATTGAACCATTTAAACATTGTATCCAGACATACTAGTTCATGGAACACTATTAGGAGGGCCTTTCCTGATTTGTTATACATAGATCGGAAAAACAAATTTCTGGCTTCATTGAACAAATAATAAAAACAGTCTCTAACAGGTCGATTTTGGTCCTTAGATGCCCAATTTTTCTTATACGTATATTTTTAAGACATCATCATTATTCTGAGCTATGCCGTCATCGGTGCATTACCATTTTTTGCGTAGGATCGCCAAATTTCGTCATTATGTTGCATTCAAATATTTTAGGGTATTCATAATAATGAAGTGAATAACAAATTTTTTATCTCGAAAATATTTGGAAAATGTATTTATCTGTTTATAAAAGGTGCTCTGTATACGCCAAATTTTGTGGCATGGGATTTTTTAGTATTCATTTATATTGTTACATTTTGTAAGATTGTTTACATAACAACGTACATAACATACAACGAATTTTGGCGTCTATATGTGAAAAATGTGTTTTTTTTTATTGGTACTCTCAAAAATTAGTGTTGACATTAATCAGGCCATATCTCGAATATCAACGTCACAAAAATAAAAACGATTTTTTTTGTTACTTGCTCAAGAAAGCCCATTTTGCCAAACATTATGTATGAAAACTATCCTACATACCTTGGGAAACAATCTTTTCCATTATTTCCCCTATCTTGCTTCTTATGTCTTTATTATTCTTTGGAGTCTTACCTTAGAAAAGAAATTACACTTCCGAACATCTATGGGTGCAACAGAGAATGCATTCAAAGATTATCTTTCACACATGCAGAAGCTTGGCCTAATGTTAATAATGGTAAAACAAATTAAGTGATGGTTCTGATACTAATGACAACGATGCACTATGATAGTGGTCGAGTTTATTTTCACATGCCTTTTTTAACTTGTTGTATCCCCGATGTTCGAAAATTAATTTTATAAATTTAATTCTGATGATCTCTTAAGGTTGAAACTTGTTGCATTTGTCTTATTTTTTTATAATTAAAAAGTCACACATGAGAAAGAGTAAATGTACCTGCTACTTTAAATCTTTTAATTGGTTTGTAAACATTCATTTCATTATTACCTCTAATAGTGTTTTAAAAAAAAAGTGTCATAATATAAATCATAATGTACATTTTTTTGTATGTTTGTATTGATTATTGAAATTACTTTTGTTTAAATTAGATAATTTACAATATATTTATAACTATTTTACTAGACGTTATTTTGACCTAATAATGACTTGAAAATTTGGTCAATAGTATTACACGGTTTATTAACGCATGTGGTCCTATTTTTGATCGGAAATTGATAAATGTCTCCCTTCCTTAATGCCCCACCTACTCGAGATTATTGTTTATAGTATAATTATGTGTACAGTCTGATTTTTGAAATAACTGTGACTTCCTAGGAAGTCTTGTTTGTAAATATGGATATTTTGTTATATAAGATATAGGTAAAAGAATAATATATGAATATCATTGAATAATAAAATATTTTCTTCTAAGCTAAATAATGTTTTATTTTTCTATATATTTACCCAATGTCGGCGTAATTTTACAGCATGTAGTATAGAGAACTTATTTCTTTCCTATCCATAAAAGAACGGAAAAAATTACAGAAAATTTTAACGTTGACTGATTTTACTTCCCTTTTAACTCTCGATCGTACAACTGTGTTCAACCAATTCCAAATAACTCGGCTGAAGCCAAGGCTGTAGTTGTAGCAGATTCTAGGGAATCGATTTGAAGACGTAAATAAAGTCCTAGATATCTTCCTACATTTTTAGTTATCAGCATTCTAGGATAGTGGATTCCTACTTTCCTAGATGTTTCAATTTCAGTATGTCGATGATAATTTCAAGATTTTATAGAAACTGAACAATGGGATAAATTAATTTAATTTAAATACTAAAAAAGCTGCTAATAATTCAATATAATATCAGAGACAACAGAGACGTGTAACTTAATAAGAAAATTCGTTCGGTGGTCCATTTAAATTACATATATGATTTTCTTTCTCTTTTACATTGATCTTTACATTACGTTTATCTCTCTCCAATAAAACTAACACCAATCTAAGAGGTCGCTGATGTTGCTGGTTTGTTGACGTCGACGTATCGATTAGAACTGACAATGTTATGAATGTTGTTATGAACGTGTGCATTTTATTAAAATTAATTTAATTTGGGCCCCGTTTATTTCTTTGAGTCTGATTTTGTTGTTTAATTAATTTTCTTTGGGGGGGAATGTTTATTTTCGCATATTATTTTTTGCATGAAGCAATTTCTGGAACCAAACAAGCGTTTTTGTACACGTTTCTTTCTAGAGGTAAGTAATTTCCAATTTATTAAGAAAACCACTGTATAATGTGTGTATTTAATAATATATTACAAAATTGCTATAATTATTTTAGGTGAATTGGAACAGAGATCCATTGTTACAGCTACTTTTGTTCATTAAGTAGGTAGATGAATGTATCTACAGCTTTAATGGCAGCACAAAGTTCCCACCTACTAGAAAAGAAGTAAAATGACAAAGGACTTTTGAAATTATTAGATATTGGCTATTTCTTACATGCACCTACCTCTAATAGCCACTCAGAAGATTGTAGTCATTTAAACGAAGAAAAAAAATTGAATCACAAAAGGGCAGAATTTTAAATCAGGATGCATTGGAAAATAAATTGGGGGACATCAGGTCGGTTTTGGATTTTAGAGAGATCAATTTCAAGAAAAGTTAATTTATCCTGCAGAACAACCAGTAGTTTAAATAGGATTTGCTATAACTTTATTAGAAGATTTCCTTGATAATAAATTGTAATAACCAATTGTTTCAAATGAAATTGAAAAAGAGTTAAATTCGAAATTAGATTTTTCATGGGTAAAATGTTATATTCATTCAAACATTGTAAGGTAATCTATAATTAAGGGAATATGGAAAATAGGTATACCCTGGTGGTGTAAGAGACAGGTAAGGGGTAATGACAAAAAAATTACAAAAATGTATTCATCTTTAAATAGTGTTTATTATTAATATTATTATTTGCTATGTTTGAAAAGTACCTCCTGCTGCAGAACAGATCGAATAGATTAGACGACTAGTTGGAGAAGGTCCACCTAGTAACCAAATTAGGAGAGTAGGAAAACTTTTACATGACTGGGGACACAACAGGAATGCACAGGCACAAGATACACAGACGACATAACAGGGGTAAGCCTTCAGCAACGTCCTGTTTAAATGATGATAGTATGTCATCCTTCATTCCCTTTTAGAAGGCATGACATATAAATCTATTGATCTTGATGACCCTAAAAGGAGTTAGCAGGGGGTGTACAAAATGGGTGGCTTCGATCAGAGTTAGCGGTCCTTCTTAGATAATAAAATATGAAGTCTATGGTATGATCGTACCTCTGGCTGGAATTTTGTAAAGTGGTAGGCGGGACCATCAGGAAGTGTCATATGCAAGGATTTAGTTTAAAATTCCTGCAAACAAGACGTCAGACAACTGAAAGGTGTAAAAAATATCGACTAAAAACATATAAAATACACACACTTGACATGACTGTTTAGCTCAGTGAAGCATTGAACATATATTATGTTGCATTTAGCGACGTGGTTCAATTCACAATAGATGAAATTTTTTTATTTTTTTTTGTACTTTTGAAAAATATGAAAATTAAATAAAAATACGTAGGTACTATTGTTGTTTATTTATTTTAAATACATTTTATTTAGCACAATAATAATAATGTCCCTTTAAATGTGAAAAAGCATGAATATAAAATTAACTCAAACTTTACAAGTATGGGAATATAGAGTAGCCCTATTCATTATCTTTCTCTACCTCGCCGAGATAAACCGATAGACGAGCTGAACTACACCAGCGAAAGGTAAAAAGTGGTAGAAAGCAGGAAGAGCCAGTGTCGTCCTAATGTGTGTTTATTATTTAATTTAATGGTGGTAAATTTTACTAATTTTGACTAAATTATTTATAAAACTGTGTTTGATAAAAAATGACTGACCAATATTTTTTTGTACTTCCAATCAAAGATTAAAAAACAAATATTTGAAAATAATAGTCAACTTCAAACCAATCTTGCCAAAACCTGTTAAT